TTTGGATAACATACTTATAGCCAGGTAAACTGCTGTCCACAGGGCACTGTAGAAGGGTTGTCTTTTGGATAACATACTTATAGCCAGGTTAACTGCTGTCCACAAGGCACTGTAGAAGGGTTGTCTATTGGATAACATACTTATAGCCAGGTAAACTGCTGTCCACAGGGCACTGTAGAAGGGTTGTCTGTTGGATAACATACTTATAGCCAGGTAAACTGCTGTCCAGAGGGCACTGTAGAATGGTTGTCTATTGGATAACATACTTATAGCCAGGTAAACTGCTGTCCACAGGGCACTGTAGAAGGGTTGCCTATTGTGCATTTGATAACATGCTGATGGACAGAAAAGCTGTTGTCCAAGGAGCACTGTAGAAGGGTTGTCTTTTGGATAACATACTTATAGCCAGGTAAACTGCTGTCCACAGGGCACTGTAGAAGGGTTGCCTTTTGGATAACATACTTATAGCCAGGTTAACTGCTGTCCACAGGGCACTGTAGAAGGGTTGTCTATTTGATAACATACTTATAGCCAGGTAAACTGCTGTCCACAGGGCACTGTAGAAGGGTTGCCTGTTGGATAACATACTTATAGCCAGGTAAACTGCTGTCCACAGGGCACTGTAGAAAGGTTGTCTATTGGATAACATACTTACAGCCAGGTAAACTGCTGTCCACAAGGCACTGTAGAAGGGTTGTCTATTGGATAACATACTTATAGCCATGTAAACTGCTGGCCACAGGGCACAGTAGAAGAGTTGTCTGTTGGATAACATACTTATAGCCAGGTTAACTGCTGTCGACGGGGCACAGTAGAAGAGTTGTCTGTTGGATAACATACTTATAGCCAGGTTAACTGCTGTCGACGGGGCACTGTAGAAGGGTTGTCTATTGGATAACATACTTATAGCCAGGTAAACTGCTGTCCACATGGCACTGTAGAAGGGTTGTCTGTTGGATAACATACTTACAGCCAAGTTAACTGCTGTCCACAGGGCACTGTAGAAGGGTTGTCTATTGGATAACATACTTATAGCCAGGTTAACTGCTGTCCACAGGGCACTGTAGAAGGGTTGTCTATTGGATAACATACTTACAGCCAAGTTAACTGCTGTCCACAGGGCACTGTAGAAGGGTTGTCTGTTGGATAACATACTTATAGCCAGGTAAACTGCTGTCCACAAGGCACTGTAGAAGGGTTGTCTGTTGGATAACATACTTATAGCCAGGTAAACTGCTGTCCACAGGGCACTGTAGAAGGGTTGTGCGTTTGATAACATACTTATAGCCAGGTAAACTGCTGTCCACAAGGCACTGTAGAAGGGTTGTCTGTTGGATAACATACTTATAGCCAGGTAAACTGCTGTCCACATGGCACTGTAGAAGGGTTGTCTGTTGGATAACATACTTATAGCCAGGTAAACTGCTGTCCACAAGGCACTGTAGAAGGGTTGTCTGTTGGATAACATACTTATAGCCAGGTAAACTGCTGTCCACAAGGCACTGTAGAAGGGTTGTGCGTTTGATAACATACTTATAGCCAGGTAAACTGCTGTCCACAAGGCACTGTAGAAGGGTTGTCTGTTGGATAACATACTTATAGCCAGGTAAACTGCTGTCCACATGGCACTGTAGAAGGGTTGTCTGTTGGATAACATACTTATAGCCAGGTAAACTGCTGTCCACAAGGCACTGTAGAAGGGTTGTCTGTTGGATAACATACTTATAGCCAGGTAAACTGCTGTCCACAGGGCACTGTAGAAGGGTTGCCTGTTGGATAACATACTTATAGCCAGGTAAACTGCTGTCCACATGGCACTGTAGAAGGGTTGTCTATTGGATAACATACTTATAGCCAGGTTAACTTCTGTGAATGGGGATCTGTAGAAGGGTTGTCTTATTGATAACATACTTATAGCCAGGTAAACTGCTTTCCATAGACATTTATTGGTAAATGGATGTGAAATGCATGCATTGTCATGTTTTAAGTGTATTTGTGTCTTTTAAGTTAACGTTAAATATGGTGTATAAAATATACATAAAAATCTATTAATAAAAGATTGCAAGTGTATTTTTGACATTCAGAGTGACAAAAAAAATCCACATGATGTTTGATAGGGGTTACGAAAGTTTTCGAAAAACTTTTATGGAAGAACATTTCCAAATTTGAATCATCAGTGGCGGGTGCAAATACCGCAAATAGTAATTCATAAATACATGCTCATGATATAGTCAGATTCGTACAATGGAAAGGGTTTTGTCGCTTCTATTTTGTTCGTTTGTTGTTAACGCCAAACTCAGCAATATTCAAGCTTTTTGGCGGCGGTCTATAAATGATCGAGTCTGGACCAGACAATCCAGTGATTGACATGAACATCGATCTATGCAATTGGGATACGATGACAGGCATCAACCAAGTCAGTGAGCCTGACCACCCGATCCAGTTAGTCGCCTCATACGACAAGCATAGAGTTTCAGCGTGCTTTTCCATCATTCGCCACAATAATGAGTGGGGAATATTATGTGTGTTCTTGTAGATGTTATGTTGTGCAATAAACACAATGAATAAAGTGGTTTTTTTTACAATTTTCATTGATCCAGACTCTGGAATATACAATTCAATCTATCATATTTGTAAGTATACTCAGTATTACTGGCACACTTTGAGAGAACGCTTATTCGATTTTTAAAATATTTGGCAAAATGGCCACAAAAATCAAAGTTGTTATGTGTATATAGGCATGAGATGAACACAACAGGGTTAGGGTTTCAATCTCATTCGATGTGTGTCGTTGATTGATTGGTTGGTTTGTTGTTTAACGCCGCACTCAGCAATATTCCATCGATATGACGGCGGTCTGTAAATAATCAAGTCTGGTCCAGACAATCCAGTGATTGATATCATGAGCATTGATCCAGGCAATTGGGATCGATGACATGCATCAACCAAGTCAGCGAGCCTGACCACCCGACCCCGTTGGTCGCCTTCTTCGTCTTTTGGTTTGACGCCGCGGCGGATCGAACCCCCACTTCCGGGCAATGCCGCGTCCACTTGACCACGGGGGCAAATGTAGTAGAACTCAGTTGCTTTTGTTCAATTCAGGTATTAACTGAAAAGTACCTGAAGGTACTTGCAAAAACAAAAGCTGTCTGCGGCACTTTCTAGAATGCCCCAGAAATCATTACATGCCACCGTCATTCATTTCCCATTTTCCCCGAGGCAAGGGAGTTAACCGACTATAAACGTCCTGTGGAAATTGGAATTTTACAGTCAGTTAACTCCCTTGCCTCGGGAACATGTGCATTTCCAGACAGATCAGTACGTTCTGTTTCGGGAAATACCTGTCAAGATTGCAACTTTTGTCATTACTGTTAGTTATATTCCTTATGGGAATGGCTTGTTTTTTCACAAGTATTGGCACACATATGCAGCCATCTTCGTTAGTTAATTAAACATCACGATATATTTCGTAATTCTGTTTCAAGTGGCGAGGAATATATTCTTTTCCGACAGTCGGCCTCAGCCGCAATTTTGGTGGTATAGAATATGTTGTCCAAGAGATAGGAGCGATACATTTCATCCAAAATACAACTCCGTCAAAAAATTGTCAAAATGCATAGTTATCTCCCTTGTGCCAACATTTGGCGCCCAACATGTGAAATATGACGCCAGTCACCAAGTTTGCTATAACCTTTTAATTACGTCTAATGAAATATCACAATCATCCTTATTTCCAACACATTTCTGTTACAGAAAATACAATTTACGGAATGTTGTTTGTATTTGAACTTGTGATGTAAATAAAAGTATAGGAAACAAGTGTTAATACTGCCCTAAAGTGGGTTGGCGTCGTAAACATTGACAAACTAGTTACTGAACCGACACGATTTCATAACCCATTATCAATCAATTGTATCCCTTTTCATTTCCTTCACTTAAAAACGACCTGTGAAGATCCAGGGTAAAATAAGTCTTCAGCAATGCTGACTTGTTGATGCATGTCATTGCATCCCAAATGCGTTGATTGATGCTAACGGTGTCAATCACAGGATTGTCTGGTCTGATTCGATTTATTTACAGACCGCCGTCATACAGCTGGAATATTTCTGAGTGCGGTGTTAAACAAGCAATTCATTTAAAAGCAGTGGCAAATGGTTTTGCAGATGAATAGTAAAGATATCAGACAGCTTCCTTGATATTTTGCCATCAGGAAAGTCACAATTACAATACACCAAGCCACACATTGTGCAAAAATAGAGAGTCAGAATTTAATTCTCTACATTTGGGGGGTTTCAACAGGTCAACATGTTTTCCATCCTCAATTTCTTACAATAGGATATGATTACATTCATGCATCTTCTTACTGAAATTATTTGAGGATGTCAACATTTCCACAAGTGTATGAAGGGGTCTGTGGGCATCTCAAACTCAGGTATAATATTTTCTTTATCCGATATTGTATATTTCAACTGCTCCCATACTTCACAGAATACTCTGCTCTTAACTTTACCACTTGAAACAGTACTTCAGTCATTTCACAGTGGCACATTACACATTCACCACTTTGCATCAACACAAGTGCATGACACAGATGCAGTCAAATCAAGGCTATTGATCAGTTCTGAGTTCTGGGATTTGAACCCAGGAGCAGATCTTAGCAGGACTGAGGTACAGCTGTACACAGCGGTACTTTGCTGACGGGCCACAGGTGACCCAGTCGTCTAAGGCGCCGCAATTCGCTGTACAGAGTTGCGTCCCTTGGCCACGCCAGAAACCTATGATTGGGGGTTCCAATCCCGATTTCACCCCGATTATGTTTCTAGGATTGTCAGCACCATACCAATGCTCGTGGGTTTTACGAAAGTGGTTAACGTCTGAGACCTGCATCACTTCGGGCTGTCCTCCCACATTAAGTTGACATGCCGTGATATAACTAGAATACTGTTAAAAGCAGCGTGAAACCAACTCACTCATGGTACACAGAACAAACACAATGACCATAGTTTTACTGTACAAATTTAATGACATTACATGTTACAACAAAGTCAATGGAGATGGACATGTTATTCATGATCAAGCAAGGTAAACAAATTGTCAAGAGTAAAAGGATGGATGATGAACACTTAAAATGAGATGATGGCTAAAATGCTCTTCTCTGAAGACGACTTTTCTAGCCGGCAGATGAGAAACTTCTAGTATGGTTTGGGTCGCCGGTCGCCTCTGTCTCCTCGGTCCATTCTGAAAATGAAATGTATAATTAGTGGCTGCTCGTTTGTTCCACTGGGACAGGGAAAATAAATAGGTATTCAAGAGGATTGGTTGGTTGGTTGTTTACCGCCGCACTCAGCAATATTCTAGTTATATGACAGCGGTCTGTAAATAATCGAGTCTGGACCAGACATTCCAGTGATTAATATCATGATCATCGATCCACGCAATTGGGATCGATGACATGTATCAACCAAGTCAGCGAGCCTGACCACCCGATCAGGTTAGTCGCCTTTTACGACAAGCATATTATTAAAGAGGAAGGCCTATCAAGCAGAATATACGTTGGTTAGATGTAAATACCTGTCAAATTCAATATCCAAGGTTACTTCAAAAACTGAAAGCCTAATGCACAAGAACGCCATATTATATACTGTACATCATGACATTAATGCAGGGAATGCCGAGATAAGGTGTCAACTAAGGGTATACGGCTTTTAAAGTTTGTTGCATTGTTAGTTACAAAATGTTCTGTCAAAACAGCAAGATTATGAATCCCAACAAGGTCTGCGTTGATGCAGAAAACCTCAATAGCCGACACAAATTTAAATATGCAATATAATTTCTTTACTGCGCCAGTCATTCACTCAGTCAAAACTAGTAAATTATTGCTAAATCCTGTCTGAAGATCACAATTTGAAACAACCATTCTATAACAAAATACAATTGATATTATAACGAAAATCTAATGTCCAAAAATAGAACATCTCTTGAAGTTCAATATTTTTTTTTATTCTTTTCAGAAAATATATTCAGATATCAAATTCAAACTTTGCACTTCACCTCACCTATTAGAAACGAAAGTCTTCCTTAAAGAATCCATGTAGCAGTTCTTAAGTTATAGGTCACACAAAAGTTTAACAAAAAACATTCTAAGTTCAAAACATCCACATATCAAAATCCAACTTTGTACTGCACCTCTTCCCTAAATTTAGTTTGGCTGGACCGGCTGGACCGGCTGGACCGGCTGGACTCAACAAGTATTTACAGGCTAAAACTGGACCACTGTTGACCGCAGCATTACATAACATTGACTCATGATTGATCCATTGTCTCAAGGTGGTGACAAATCAGGAATTCTCTAATGATTCCCATCTTAGTCTCACTAACCTTCCATCCCGACCTCCTCTGCCCCGGTCTGGTCCGCCCCGCATACCACCCCTGAATCCGCCGCGTCCTCTGTCGGGTCCACCTCCACGTCCTCCTCCGAACCCGCCTCCTCTGGGTCCACCCCGGGGACCACCACGTCCACCTGGTCCTCCACGGCCAAAACCACCACGACCACGTCCACGGCCTGAAAAGTTATGAAATTATGAAAAAATATTACAAAAATACATCAGTGCAGTTGAATGATCAATGCATTCCAGCAATAACGAGAGCATACTGACAATGCAATAGTTTTCTGTACACATGTCAAGTTTGTTTTAATACATTCAAACGGGATCTTGAGGGGGATAAAACAATGAACTTACAAAACTCTTCTACAAAACTTTCTATCACAAAAACATCTTGCTGGGTACCCAACACAGATGCATAGACAGAGCAACTCAGTTCAACAACAGCAAGAAATGTACTCAGGGTTTCATTCTTGATTATTCTGTTGTGATATAACCTGGATGCGATCCCAACCACATCTTACATAAGGAAGTGACTGCATCATCTACCAGAGAATTAGTCCTCATCACATACTATTCAATGTAAAGGACCACCCAATTCTTTCCTATTATTAGTCTGGGACAAAAAGTTCTGAGTTGAACTTGGCGCTTGGCATAATTTTTTGATAGTTTTTCAGTGTTATCATATGGTCTATAACACGTATTAGCTGAGCTTTCTAGACTGATCTGAATGTTACGAGACTGGATTCGGACTTGTAGCTAAAGTAACAGACTGTATTACAACATCAAATCTGTAAGGCCGCACTCAGCAATATGACAGGTCTGTAAATAATCAACTCTGGACAGGACAATGCAGTGATTGAAATGAACATGGATCCAGGCAATTGGGATGGGATGCGATAACATCAATCAATCAAATCAGCAAGCCTGACCACATGATACCGTTAGCTGGCTCCTAACACGGGTTGCTGAAGAACAATTCTGACCAGTATCTTCATGGAGTCATAAATTGATAGTATGTCTATTTTCTTAGAATTGTGTCATTTGAAAACAGGAATAGTGGCATGTATGACAATAGAAAATAGTAGCAATGGATGGACAAGATTATGATTAGTTTTGGCTTGATCCCAGAAGTTAAACTATGTGAAAAATACAACCTAGAAAAGGGGTTTAACACTGTGTCTGTGTGTGTGTGTGTGTGTGTGTGTGTTTTTGGTGTGTGTCTGTGTCTGTCTGTCTGAGTGAGTGAGAGAGATAGTATCAACATGGATACCCCACTGAGAGATGCAGTATTCTGGCCAGTCCTTATTTTACCCCCTCAATGCCGAACGCCAGTCAGGGTAAGGAATACCATTTGTTTGTTTCTTGTTTAACGCTGCACTCAGCAATATTCCATCGATATGACGGCGGTCTGTAAAATAATCAAGTCTGGACCAGACAATCCAGTCATTGACATCGTGAGCATCTATCCACGCAATTGGGATCGATGGCATATATCAACCAAGTCAGCGAGCCTGACCACCCGATCCCGTTAGTCGCCTTTTACGCCAAGCATAGTCGCCTTTTACGGCAAGTATGAGTTGCTGAAGACCTATTCTACCCCGGAATCATCATGGGTCGTAAGGAGTACCAACTTATAGTATGATGTGTCTGGGGATTGAACCCCCGACCGGGCAGATGCTCTCTCCACTAGACCATGGATGCTACTGTGAACCCTACCCCTTCACTACCAAGAGCAAAAAAAAAATGTAAAGTGGTGATCTCTTCTATAGTCCTTACCTCTATCATCATCGTCATCTCCCATGCCTTCAGGTTTGGGAGTGTTGCACAAGTTGCAGTTGTGTCTCCAGCCAAAGTTGTTGTTACCACAGTCACTGAAACAGATAAGACGTCCACGTGTCATTTATTCAAACGGTGTCATACCATAGAACAATCTCAACCATCACCGCTGAAGCATTTGTGTTGAAACGAGACGCCATGCTCTCCAAGGCACCACATCTCCCAAGATCATTCCCGCTTATATCCATAATATGTCAGTATCATACTCATTCTCATGGATATAAAAGTAATTAATGTCCAACGCATGAAGAACATTTGGCTTAAAGTACTCACGGAAATGAAAAAACTGTTTTTTTTATCTCAGATTTTAAATAAATGCAGTTAATATACAAAATATATAAATATTCAAACAACTCAATTAGTACTTATTGGGCCTTGGCACAAATACAGCGTATCAAAGGTTTTTATGTCTTTTTACATGTAAAAGTGTGTAAAAATATGAACAAAACAGACTATTGTGAAACTGAGCATAACCAGGTGTTAGTAGATCAAGGTGAATGTCCATGACCTATGACACCTTGACAGGTGAAAACAGGTGCTCGAAACCCATGTGCATGTGATTTGTGAGTGGTTAGTGATTTGTGAGTGGCATTGTGGGATAGTGAATCATCGTCAAAATATCAGAACGTAAAAGTAACATTCCCTTCTCAAACAACAACTTACATGTCATTATTATTATATACATAAACATAGCTGTTATTTTTATTGTTGTTTTGAAAACTTTTTTCCAGGTTAATTTGCATAATGCCTATAGCCTGTTTCTGCCATGTCAATTTGGACTTAGTTTTATTTTTGAATGTTGAAAGTGCCTACAAATTACCTCCTGTAAAATACATTTTGTATTGAGCACCGAGATAAAACTAGCAAAACCAGACTAGTACTTTTCCAGTTGTTTTGTTATTTCGTATTTACATCTACGTAAGGCTTTGTGTCGATTATTAAATCCAGCAAAACAGGTTTTTTTCATTTCCATGAGTACTTTAGTGATAAAACTGATATACTGCTAAAGTAAAGCTGAGACCACACTCTGACTGAAGTATTGTGTATACAAACAAGTACCTGTTGGGGCAGTCCCAGTCTCCCTGTCTGCCACCACCACCGCCGCCACCTCCCATGCCGCCTCCTGCAAAAAGGTCAACAATATTATGGTAAACAAAATTCAACAACTGAAAAGTTAACTCTTCTGATGGAACATTCAAGTTGACAAAAGTGGGGTCATTTCTTAAAACAAGAACTACAAACTACTTGGTGATCTTTACTCTCAGCATGGTGTTGGGGTGCTTGTTCGGAAATATTTACAAATTATCCTGCGAGTGAATTTGATTTGTGCTTAATGCACATTCAAAAGACGTTAAGTTCCTATTTCAGTCAAAAAGCAACACAAAGTCATTGCCCAACCATCTTAACAGCAAGGTTGAAATTTGCTCCATACCAAATTCATGAATGGGCGTCTCAAAGTTTTGACAAATTTTTTTCAGTAAAAAACACTATAATTTTCTATTTTGCTACATGCGCACACAAAACTGTGTTCATGTTTGCATAAGCAAATCACATGATTGTTTATACATGACAGGTGTCAGATACTGCAACAAAGCTAACAATGATAATTTCTTCCCTGTGATACAATATGTGCAATGCAGGTCTTTCTCATTGGGATGATGCCTGCCGAACACTGCCGATTAATTCCCACAAAGGATAACTATTTGGTATTTGAAAGTAACTCGTCAAACTGCAGCATATTGCTTTGGATATTTCCTGAATTAATCCCTTCTGAACATGCTGAAGTGAGGCTTACCCCGGGGTCCTCCACGACCACCACCACCGCCGCCGCCACCACCCCGGCCACCACCTGCAAGCACATTGGCAACAAGGTGAACATGGTGTACATGGTGAAGTCAAGGAATATTTCGCTTACACGTTCAATTTACAATATGAATATTAAAAGGGATCTGACGAACAGTTTTTCTGTTTATTTAACACTCAGCAATATTAAAGCTTTATGACGGCAGCCTGTAAATAATAGGCCACTTGACCAGACAATCAAGTGATCGATATGGTGAACAATGATCCACACCGTGGAGGTATGACCAACACAATCAACAAAGTACTGAGAGTCCAAATGATCCATTATGACCTCTTATGACCGGTATAGGTTGCTGGAAACATAACTCAGAATCCCTGACATAACTTCAGTGTTTGTATATACAAAAATATGAAAGTTATTTGAAAGTATAGGTATGAATAGTTCATGCCATCAAGCAGAGAACACACGCTAGTGACACTTTCCTTTCAACTGTGTTCTAACGCACATATACAAAGAAAGATGTAATACCTCCTCGGCTGCCACCACGACCACCAAAGTTTCCAACTGGTCTCTGGGCTAATTCAACACTGATGGTCTTCCCGTTGAAATCTTTCTCTGAAATAGATTTCGTAGAAACTTTAGTATGATACATTTTCAGATTTTGTAATAATTTCACTTGGCAAAAAATGAAAACAACAACAACTGCTGTTCATTAATCAATCAACTACACCATAAGGATGTAAATTGAAAATTATGCAAACAAGTATTTGTCACAGAGTGACGAAATATCCCCCGCCATATACACCATAGTACCAAATATGAAGACAATCCAGCGATTAGTTCTTGAGATATTGTGGCAACACCGTTTTCTAACTCCAAAAGCAGATTTGCCTGCTGTGACCTTGAAAATGGGGTCAAGGTCACCAAATCTGACAGGTGTATGCGGTGTCTGTATATACACTATAGTTCCAAATATGAAGACAATCCAGCGATTAGTTCTTGAGATTTCGCGGCAACACCGTTTTCTAACTCCAAAAGCAGATTTGCCTTCTGTGACCTTGAAAATGGGGTCAAGGTCACCAAAACCGACTGGTGTCTGCGGTGTCTGTATATACACCATAGTTCCAAATATGAAGACAATCGAGAGGTTTAGTTCTTGAGATATCGCGGCAACACTGTTTTCCAACTCTAAAAGCAGATTTGCCTGCTGTGACCTTGAAAATGGGATCAAGGTCACCAAAACCGACTGGTGTCTGCGGAGTCTGTATATACACTATAGTTCCAAATATGAAGACAATCCAGTGTTTAGTTCTTGAGATATCGCGGCAACACCGTTTTCCAACTCCAAAAGCAGATTTGCCTGCTGTGACCTTGAAAATGGGGTCAAGGTCACCAAAACCGACTGGTGTCTGCGGTGTCTGTATATACACCATAGTTCCAAATATGAAGACAATCCAGTGTTTAGTTCTTGAGATATCGCGGCAACACCGTTTTCCAACTCTAAAAGCAGATTTGTCTGCTGTGACCTTGAAAATGGGATCAAGGTCACCAAAACCGACTGGTGTCTGCGGAGTCTGTATATACACCATAGTTCCAAATATGAAGACAATCCAGTGTTTAGTTCTTGAGATATCGCGGCAACACCGTTTTCCAACTCTAAAAGCAGATTTGTCTGCTGTGACCTTGAAAATGGGATCAAGGTCACCAAAACCGACTGGTGTCTGCGGAGTCTGTATATACACCATAGTTCCAAATATGAAGACAATCCAGTGTTTAGTTCTTGAGATATCGCGGCAACAAACAGGTGGGACGTACGGACGGACGTACGGACGGTCGTGAATACTATATCCCCCGCTTCGCGCTTTCGCGCGGCGGGGGATAATAAAACCCAGGTAAGTTGATTTTCACAAGATTTAGAATTTGTGAAACTATGTGTCCTTTCAGTTACAAATAGTACAACACGAACTGCTTGACATCTGTAACATGGCCTTTTCAACAATACATTGTATTTTCCTATTCCAGCATATTACACATCAAAGAATACAATTATGAAGCAAGGTCCTTTCCCAGGTTGATTTGATTGTCCACAACTGCTTATTTGGTTACATACCAGTTTGAACAAAAAAAACCAAACAAAAACAAAAACAAAACACCCCCCCCCCCTCCCCCCAAAAAACACCGCCTGCACCATATTTTCCAATGCCATTGCCTGAGAACCAGTTCTTGTTTTCTTAAAAACCGTAATAATCATGACAATGCATCCTGTAGAGAAGTGATTCTGTTGCTAGGAAACTAGATGTTGATAGCATGTGCAACTGTCCATGTTATTGATCAGCACACAATCTGCCAGCACATAATTATGGTGCAAGGCCCAACTAGGGTTATATTAAATGCAGTGTTCGATATTCGTGAGTGCTTACTGTCAAACCAGTCAATCGCGGCCTTGGCTGTAGAAGGATCATCAAACGTCACAGTAGCTTCTCCTTTAGGCTTGCCAGACACCTTATCTTTGTAGATCCACACTTTGGGCTTTCCTGTTCTCTTGTCAGTCTGAGAAGAACAGTTATGAACATATAAAAATTCAATTAAATGAGTTGTCGCAAGAAATTGTCTCCCTACAGACAATGTTTCAGCATCAGATCAGAGTGTATGTTCAAGCATTGATGTAAATACGCCAGATTTGCTGCTGTTACTATCAGAGCAAATCAGCTGGGCCCTTCTACAAAGCAGTCTTAGTGGTAACATGATTGCAACTCCAATACATAGCCTCACAACATCGTCTGATTGTAGCACTTTCATCACTTTGGAGAACAGAGCCCAGAAGGTCAGTTATGATTTGTTATTTCATACCCAACAGATTTGAACATGATATTGATTGGCGTTTCAGTTTACAGATGAACAGTGCCGCATACCTTAATGACACCGATGCTGCCGAAATGTTGAACCAATGCTTCTTCTACCACATCTTCTCCCATGCCAGACACGAAGATTGTATCATGTTGTGTCTCCATCTCACGATCTGAAAGAAATCAACGTTTTCACAGAATTCACACACCATTGCCTACGACAAATACATTGACACCCCACCGAGACACAGTATACTGACTGAACAGACCACTCCTTGTTTTATCCCCTTAATGCCAAGCGTCAGGCAGGGTAATAAGTACTAGAAGCCTGAAGTCATTGACATGTAAGATTAAAAACCTTTTCATCACCTGGCACGGTCGCTCAGTGGGAAAAACAGTGGGTTGGTTACAATACATGTGTGGGTGCAGGTTCAATTCACATCGAAGAATCGTGACTTTTAATCAGTGTAGAAGATGCCTTGGATGCATATTCAAAGGATGATTCTAAATCTTTGATAATTAACACTACTTTTGTGTGTGTGTGTGTGCGTGTGTGCGTGTGCGTGTGCGCGTGCGTGGGGGGTGGGGGGAAGAGTTCAAAATGCTGATAAACATGAAAGGCAGACAAGATCTGAGAAATCTCGACTACCTTTGTACCGTATATGACCGCGGATAAGCCGCAGTATTATAATACAGTATTGCTTCTAGAGTGAGAGCCTTGTTTAGATTGAGGGTGGTTTGTAATGCGGTTTGATGTGTTAGGTAGTGTGTGCAGTGGATGAGTGCATGTTCTTGGATTTCTAGTTGTTTGCAGTGTGGGCAGTTACCTGTAGTGTGTTTTTTTAGGTGGTTATTTAGGTTGGTATGTCCTGTTTGGAGTTTAGTGATTACTTTGTCGATTTTTTTGGATGGATGGAGAATTTTGGGTTTGGTTAGTGGTTAGCTGAGCACTTTTTTGATTTGGCTATTTGAGTTTAGATATAGGTTATGCCATTTTTTTGTGATTTTTTGCTTGTTTGTAATTTTAATTTCTGATTTTGAGATGGGTAAGTTTAAGCTTATTTCTGGGATTTTGAGGGATAGTTTAGCCAGTCAATAAAAATATTCCAACTTTTATACATCTATGCAGTAACTCACCAATTTACTTCACTTCAACTTCAAAAATTGCCGCCACTATCGTATGTTAATCCAATTGAATTAAATAAACTATGAACAAATTAAATGACCATCACTTACTCACAGGCTTCTGCAGTTTATAAAACTAATCTCTCGAAAACAAAAGAATTAAGCCCCTACTCCAAACACGATCGGTAAGCACACACAACTTGAAAGTGTTTGTGTAAACACCAATCGGCCCGTTATTATCAGTGCTCATTTCCTTGTGTACCGTGTTGCTTTTTAAACAACAGGAAGCAATCACAGTGGTCACAGGAAACAGCTGATCACATGTTTTTGCAAATGGCGAACGGAATAACTCGCCGCTACAGTTGTTTATTTGCCCCTTTCAATTAAGGTAGATACTTGTTCACTATCAATTTTTGATTTTTGCAAAACGTACGTACCTGTAGTAGCTTTGGCGATTTCATCTGTGAATTATATATTGTTAAATGTAAAGATTGTGGAGTTTATGAAGAACGATAAACTTGGAAACAATTGAAAACTTATGATCTTAAGTAGTAATATGCATAACATTCTTTTAATAATGACAACATTGGTGTATAATAATAACTTTATTGATAATTTTAACTTGATTCCAAACTTTCGGGTTGTAAACTATCAGAACCGTCATTTAGGCGATGTTTCTGTCGGATCACAATCTAAAAATACTATCGTGAAAGTATCCCGTGGATAAGCCGACCCCTTTCTACATAATCTTTTTTCTGGTCCTCAAAATTCGGCTTATATGCGGTCATATACGGTAGTTTATTAACAAAATGAAGGCCCTGTAAAAACAAGAGGATGACGTCACTATAGGTTTAAAAGATTTGGTTTGTTTGTTGTTTAACACCGCACTCAGCAATATATACAATCATATACATCGCTCATGCATTTGGGATCAATGACATGCATCAACCAAGTCAGTGAGCCTGACCTACCGATCCCGTTAGTCGCCTCTTACGACAAGCATAGTCACCTTTCACAGCAAGCATGGGTTGCAGAAGACCTATTCTACCCCGGATCCGGTCTATAAGAAACAGTTAAAATCAAAATTTGAAGACTCACCAGATCCATATCTGCCACCACCTCCTCCTCCCCCTCCACCTGCAGAGAAAAGGAAGAAACTTGGATGAAGGCTCTGTAGAAATCAGTACATTGCAGCAACTAACAAAACCAGACACAAGCAGTGGAAGACAAGCTGACCCCTCTGGATGCTAAATCCACCATATCTAAAACCTCATTGTTCAACCACGCATGTATCCAAACATGAAACACATGTAGCTTTCCTTTCAGCTACTGTAACCATGAAAACCCAAGACCCACAATATCTTCAGTTCAACTTCCCATGTTTACCTCTACCTAAGGTCACAACCTTGTAAAAAAAACACCAATCAGGCCAGCATATACAAGCCTACTCTAGTTGGGCATTATTTGCATATTAATGTTCACACAGCCCACAGGAAAGTGGTACAAGCTGAGGCAAAACTAAGGCAATGCACAATGTAGGGAAAAAACAGTAACAAGTGTGGTAGTTAACCAGGGCTCCAGTCCACAAACTGATCTTAGGGCAAGGATTGTCATAAGTCTTGCATAGTGCCGGAGTTACGATCATCTTATCGCTAAGATCGCTTTGTGGAATGAGTCCCAGAGTTAGAGTGAGCGTTCACCCTAGAGCAGCCTTTGTATTCCTTTACCTGCATGTCCACACCAGCTTGTAAATATGAATCCCCTGCAAGTGGTATTAAACTGTCAACCTGTGTGCAGCTTTCTGCATCACTGGGACAACCTTCAATATAGTGTAGTTGGCAGTTCAATCAACCACTTCGGTTTACTTAATCCCATGTGTTCAGGTTAACATGTACAGACTCCTGCGTGACAATTGTCATAAAGTTGAACTGTTGCACACAATTTCTTCGTAAGATGGTTACACCACTGGACATGATGAATGATGACAGTTGTAGTAGACCAACACATTGTTCACATTTCAGGTCTACAGCGATATTACTTTACCTGTGTACAACCTGAGGCCATTATTACCAGCTCTTTACATTGAACAACTTGAGCAGTCTACACAATTCAAACCCATTGAATTAGGATGCACTACCCACATAAGTCTCTTCAGTTTCAAGGACTCTTTCAAATCACATTGTCTCAGTTTAAGCACTCTTACATTGCAACCACTCAAAATATTGGTTGACCGGTTTTGGGTTAACATTTGTCATAAGCTGTCAGTCTAACTACAGTGGGTACATGTATCCCTATGTTTAACAGGAGTACACAAATATTTGAACGCTACAGGTCGTTAACTTCTTCAGTTGATCAAGGTGATGTTGGAGATGGAAACAGGTATATCTGTAAGACTATGGTTGCTCTGGACACTATGCAGGTTTTCCTATATCCTGGTTCCAGCATTATATTCTAGACACCAGGAGACCAACTAAAAACATAAAACATTGTATTCACCCATGATCAGGGTTGGTGGGGTCTTAAATCACAGTGTACATCTCAAAGGACCAGTAGTTTATCCGCAAATCTTGTTCTGTCACATACACCACCAATTCCAAATGCGTTGCAGATTTATCTCATGCATATTCCAGACCATTCATTGGTTCTTGTCATAATCCAATCTACAATAGTTGTCTTAGAAAGATGGCCATACATCACACAGCAGACTTCTCTAATGATCATGTGGTCTCTATTACAACAGGAATAGAGCCAAGGTGTCCACATGGATGCCGAAGTTCCTGGCTGTACAATCTGCATCGAGTATTGTTTAGACCCACAGGTTTTGTGAACATATCCCACATGGCAACTAGTCTTCTTCCAAGATGAAGTCAAGTTAAGAAATCTGCTACAAAAAAACCTGTGTCCAAATTGTGGACAAACCTAAATGAACACATGGTGTTTACACATCTTTCAGCAACATCCAATTCATCCAAATCAGTTCCACACAGTCTGTTCATCCCACACTTCCTGCGACTGCAATCTCCTCCTATGACCTTGGCCTTTTGTTCCTCCACTCCTCTTCCATATTTTGCGTCAACATTCAGAATATTTCCCTCCATGTTTGAACGGGTTTAGGTTAGATCATAGCAGTACACACTTCTCAAATTTTATCACTCAGAATACACGAAACAAGAAACACAAAAACATACAACAGGCAAGGTGGTTGAGTGTAACGCAAGGTGTCTCTTCCCACTACAGATTACTAGACAATAGAAAGTTGTGTGCCCAAAGCTGAGACAGCCTGGTCCTTGACTTACCACTACTATAACCACCTTTGTTGAACCCTCCTCGACTGCCGCCGCTGTGAACATTCATAGGTCAGACATTGTTAGACGGCACCTTCGGCAGCGTATCGATGCAGCATCGACAGTAAGCAACCATCAAAGTAGGGTATAACCTTCAGATTTTTTTTCGCATTTTTGTAACACCCAGTGGACAATTGCCACAAATACCATTGCTCTAAAGCAGTTTGTAGTTTTTAAGCATTGTTTAACCCCCTACCTAGCTGTGGCTCTGATATGTCACTGTACAAACCACCACACACAATTGTGGAGCAACATGAAACCTTTTTTTTTCTTAATTAAACATTCTTTGAACCATTTCCTACCTAAATTTGTATTAACAGCTGGAACACACCAAGAACCTGTCTCCATTGAATACCATCATTTTGGAGACTTTCTACATCATTGTTAGAAGTATTTCATGTAATCACGACAACTCAAAAGGCTGGTATAGTTCTGTGCTCACCATGACATTACAAGATTTTGCAATAATTCTTTGTATTCTGAAATCAATGAGTCATTAAGTATTGGTACCCTTGTATTTGTTTAAAACCTACTTGCAGCCAATTATACCTAATCTAAAAAAAATTAAAAAATTAAAAAATTAAAACCGGCTTAACATGTTCCATGAAAGATGGCTACCAGTTAACAGTAGCTGATTTCTCCCCAAATCTCCATTCTATAACAGAATGTGACCTGGCTTTGGAACTAATGATGTCTACACCTAATGTGTAGATGGACCATTATAGGGTCTTACAAAGCCTGCATGGATGACAAACCTGGATCAGCGATTCAAACAATATAGTTGTCATTGGGTATTCAATATATTTTTACTCATTAGTCCAGTCTATTTGGTTTTATTAACCGATGAGTAGGCTTTTTCTACGCTGTCAAAGTTTCAATAGACGAGATGGTGTACACTTGTGCATTAACCACAGCAGTAGAGTTCATGTATACACGATGCCTGCATTCAGTCAACAAGAAATAATCTGCGAAGACATGTGAAAGCAAGCTTAAAATGCTACATTCGGTAATTATGCACAGTGTTATACCACTGGGTAACTTCTTCACTTGATTGATAACAGTTTTAGTATCTACACCGAAACGTCGCTCCTAATTGCAATAAAGAAGTTGTTCTTCCATAAATCTTACCCTTACTTACATACTATTGGGTTATTGAATACCTATGCATATTTGTATGCAAGTAACGGAAAAATTAATTGGGTTAGAGTGATTCAGCTGGCATATTTGATGCTAATATGTAGCTGATCACAACTCTGCCTGGATAACAGAGTGAACATCAATCTAGCCATCCATGGTACAGGGGACACATCTAGTCAACCTGACTGCAGTTGTTTCGTCTTTTTTGTGTAACATCAATCAGCTACAGTCTTCTAGTTACTTGAGGCATGTGAATTATCAAATCTGGACTAGACAAACCAGTGATTGACATAATTGCAATGATATGCAATAAACTAAGTCACTGAGCAAAACAACCCAATCCGCCTCTTAGTCGCCTCTTATGACAAGCTGAGGTTGTTGGGGTCCTATTCAAACTCACAAAGTAGGGGATTGTTGTATTTGGCTTGGTTTGTTGTTTTACGCCACACTCAGCAATATTCCAGCTATATGACACCAGCCTGCAGTCTGTCTGGACCAGACAATACAATGATTGATATCATGAGCATCGAACACACAAATGGGATTGATGACATGCTTTAACATAGTCCCCTTTTACGACAAGCATGGGTTGCTGAATACCTTTTCTACCCATATCTTAACGGATCAGGAGATTGTTGTAAGTTACAAACAATGACATTCAGTCTTTCAGGATCAGCCTCATACTGTGACCACAACATTCAGTTTAAACCTTGAACAACCGATGAGGTAGGTGGACATAATCCCTACAGCAAGCCTTCTCATATCTTTAAATGTCTTAGTGACTGAGCTCAACTGGTTTGAAAATATCAATATGAAAGACATCATCTTCCATATTCTAACACCCCATATTTTCTTGAAATAATGTTTAAGATGATATAGTGAGAACTCCCTTGTATCAAACTTGAAGAATGTGACTTAAATCTGAAGAAAAGGGGAATAACTCATGGAACCACAAACTACAAAAGTTGAGATGTTTCCTGTGTTTTTTGTGTGCTCAATTTTACCTTTTCTCAATCTGAAGTATTTGCAAGAAGGAAAAGAATATTTTGGATCAAATATGTTATATTTATGAACAATTAATGTCAAACTGTTCCATCAAAACTACTCCATATACATAAACAGTTGAAGGATCTGTAATGTTGCAGAAAATATTCATGTAATGTTAAGGGCAAAGAGAGGTACTGGGGATTTGCCTCGTGAACAATTCCATCGGCTTCTTCGAAAAATCACACCATGTCAACTCTTTGCATTAACTTTGTCATGACCACCATATGAACATGTCTTTCTATCACACAACACTTGGGTGATCTCTAGTAGAACCCTTAAACACAACCTGTACAAGACAATCAGAGCCACAGTATAACAGCTTTTTTTAGTTGTTTATTTCAGTTTTTGTTGGTATATTCAACCCTTTGAACTTTTAAAGATAACTCACTGGACAGGTAAAGTTTTAGTTTATGGTTTATTGGTTTATTTTTGACACCATGTTCACACCAATTTTCCCTTTGGAAAATCATTTCCATAAATGTTTTGCAATCTTTCTTCAACACACCAGTTATCACTTGGATCAACACTTTTTTCATAAATGCTTTAGGAATAGCATTCTTAGCATTCCTATAAATACTTAAAGCACTTCATTTTTAAACATGAAAATAGACCAGACACTATAGACAAATTGGTATCGACTCAGGGAAAAATCCCTTGCACCTGCCCAAAGCAATTTATCCCATATGTTTAGATGTATACCTGCATGACACTGTCCTACGACAATGTCACTATATATTATTCATTATTCAGGATTGTCAAGTGTGACCTGGTTACAATTGTTTACATTGTTTGGTCCAAATGTTGAAAATTCACCACACGTACGTGAACCTAGACCAAACAGTGACAATTCCCACAAACGTGCAATGCACTCCGCTCAACTGATATACCATTAATTTGATTTGTTCGACCTTTTCCTGTTATGTATATAGTAAACAAACATGACATTTATCTGGACAATACAAATTTCTTCATTCTCAGACATTTTATCCACTAGTTATTGACAGAATGTCTTTTTCACCCTAGGTTTGCAACTTCTGCCAAACACTTCATAAATGTTGCTTCGACCATGAACTGACAAACTGAAAAAAAAATGCCCCTACTTGCACTGTAGATTTTAGTATTGTTCTTACACTACAGAAGAAATTCAGCTTGATTTTGTTGGACAATGACTAAGTGTCCAACAATACATGCAATGATTTAATACCCTGTAACTTTAATTTTGTCCGTTGTGTAACAGTGACCTCAGCAATGTTCAAGCTGTGATGGCAGTCACTAAAGAATTGACTATGGACCAGACAATCCAGTGATTGGCATCATGAGCATCAATCTAGATAATTGTGATACAATGACAAGCCTGATCGCCTTTTCTCTGTTAGTTGCCTTTTACGACAAGCATGGGCTGGGGAAAAACGATTCTAACCAGATCTTCATATGGGGGGGGGGGGGGGGCACGCCTGTATCTTGTGAAACATATCATTTTGTTTTATAGAAAGAACATTTGTGGACTGAAATACTTAAGGTATTGGTTGAAGCAGGCTCCTGGCTTATAATTTTAGTCCTTATTAGCGATAAAAACGAATTTATAAAAAGTTTTATCTGTGCATCTTCATCATTCAAACTCCAGGTAGTCAACTTCAGTTGGTCCTCAATACATACTTCACACTGGTTCATTTCCTGTTTAGATTATTCACATGCATTTTTAGAACCAGAAATAATGCTAAGAACAGTGGTTCTGTAAACCTCTGGCAGTTCTATTATGATCTCCCTAGCCAACAGACCACATTACTTGCAGTCATGTATATTCCTCTGCCAAATACTGAATTTGGTTTAACATAGACCAGTATTTCAAGGATTGTCAGATAGATGTGGGAGGAAATCGAAGAGTGGAGCACACAAAACATTTACCATGTTTGTCAAACATGGGCATGGTGCTGACAAACCTAGAAACATCAGAACAGGGATCGAACCCAGTCTTTTGGTTTCCCCTTTCTGACAAATGGGGTTATGAATAACAGGATATCTGCATCAAAATAATGAAATATGAATGTTTGAAAAACATAGTTGTGACTCAAAAATCATTTAATGTGAATCAATACTGTTCACGAACAAAATTGAACCACTCACGCTCGAATTGTCACGCAACACAATTTAACATGTTTATGTTACCTATGATTACCACACTTTGTTGTGAATACTGCTCAATAAAACATTTGATCTTTTAGGCATACCACCATGGCAGCTGCTCATGTTGTGTTCAGAACATGAAACCCACAGATTTAACAACCAGCCTCCACAAATAGCGCACATGCATATTTTAGTTGAACCATTAAGTTGTTGTTTTATGAATTCCTTACAATCTCTTCAGCTGCCACATGGCAGTGAAAGTTTTTGTATTAGTTTTTATGTGTTTATTACTGTCTGTCCAGTGAGCACCATCAAAAGTACACCAGTGATTTTCACCCAATGATTAACACTTTGATGTTAACAATCCTGCTAGAAACATTAAGAGAAACACAGAATCAAGTCATAACCAGATAACATTCAAGTCATGCGTTTCATTGGATGTGAACCTTTACAATTAAATACATGCCAACAAACCACTTTTCAAAATTTTACTTTAACTTGATATTTGTTGATAGGTACATACAGTAGTTACAATCTTGCTTTTCTGCAATTGCAGTTGCCCTTTACACTTCTATACATAGTAATGCCATCTCCATACATGGTGATGGTGTATTAATGGAAAACAAGGACTTGCAGGACTGCTTGGAATATTAATTACTTCTGTAACTGATTCTAAGATCAGACATTAACCAACTAATGCCATCAAACATGTCCATTTACTGATGAAATAACCAACATCAAGATAAAATGGTGATATTGTCGAGACATGAATCTGATCATATAGGACTTTCATGATTTCAACATTTCTTGAATATTCCAAATAACTTATCTTGTAATATATGAGACATGTTGTTTAATGATTAGTCAATGTCCTATAATAAGAATCAATCTGAAACTATTTGTATTTCTTTCATAAAAATCAATTAAAAACTTGAACCAAAATAAATATTTTCCCGAAATTAGACACTGCTACTAGTTATGTAGTCCCATAATTCTTAATGGTGATCCAAGGGTTAGTTAAAAATTTTAAGTTTGTACATTTTTTCGATACACCATAGAAGCCAGGGACTGAAATGTATCAGTGTTCACAGCTAACAGTTACCTAAAGATAATTCACTTGTTCAAAATGGCAGCATTGTTGCCAGGATTAAAAAGGGTTTAAGCAATCCTGCAAATCCTACGAATCATATTATAAAGAGGACAAAGATTCTTACCCATATCCTCCCCCTCCTCTGCTGCCACCGTCTCTTCCACCAGAACCTGAAGCACAAACAGACGAGCATTTTATAGCTGGCTGGTGCTGCCATTCATCTTACGAACAGGCACATCCAATGAGTTTGCTGTGTTGTCTTGTAGAACATATTTCTCAACTGCCAAGGTATATTTCAGATGAGCTCTTAACTTGTCATTTACCATAGTATACTATTCCAAACAGTCGTCATGGCTCAATTTGGAATCGTCATTTGGTGATAAAAAAATATGTTCGCATAATTTTCATTTAATATCTTATTAAACAGCATGATAATTTAAAATTGAATGGATGACAGTAACTTTTCAGAGTTCAACAAACTATAAAATAGAACAGAATGGTGAATAAAATCTCAATGGATAAAAGCATGCAAAACAAATGTATTCTCCCTGTCCAGTTAACATGACCCACACAAAGACTATCACATACAGGACTGTCCAAACACCAGACCGTAGCAGGCTGGTAGATGTCAAAACAAACAAGTTAAATGACACAAAACAAGCAAATTTTGAAGGGGTTTGAGGGGGAAAATACTGAACATGTTTCATTGAAATGAAGGAAGGCTTAGCTTTTATGAAATGTGCACTTTATATTAAAACCTTTGCCTTCAAATAATATTTACATAAACAAAACATGACATCCATATCATCTCAAATGACCGGAAAGGTGCAAAAAGACAACTATGGCATGGTTGTTTTAATATCATTCAAATGTCAATAGAAAGTATAGCGATTAATGCACAACCATTTGTTATTTTCTGACAGTCCTGTTGTTGAACACTACACACTACATTTATAGCAGTTGTAGTCCCATGTTACACCCTCCCCTCCCAAAACTGACCTTCCCATCAACAAACAAGTCTACTACAGTTATCACCACTATTAAATTACCTTGGTAACCACCTCCCTCTCGGCCCCCTCTTCCGGATCCATAACCTCCTTGTTGCTGGTACCCAGACTCGTTGCCATAACCACCTCCAGGTTGGCCCCCGTAACCCCCGGCTGACTGGCCCCCGTAACCCCCCGATTGTTGGCCCCCATAACCCCCTGATGAAGGACCACCCCCGTAGCCCCCTGATGACGGCTGACCTCCGTATCCCCCAGATGACTGGTCGCCGTATCCCCCAGATTGGCTTCCATAGCCGCCACTGCCGCCACTACTGGATGACTGGCTTCCGTATCCCCCTCCTGATGATTGGGTGCTATAGCTCTGCTGTCCACTACCATAGCCACCACTGGACGGCTGGTAGCTTGATGAAGCAGACTGACCACCCTGGCTATAGCCTGAAAGCACAAATGTTGGTTATGGAACATACAGAGCTTTAAATGAAAGATTCCCAGAGTCGCTTCGTACCACAAGTTTGGGGTCACACAACCATATGCATCAAGATTTAGCAACGGTAACAATAGTTACTAGATAATGTCAAAGGTGTCTGTTGGGCTAGTTAAAATCTTTTACATGGCTGCACCAACAGGGATAACCCCAGTGAGCTGGGTCATACATCGCTTTGAACAGTGTAACGGGAATATCATAACATATTAGCTGAAGTTGGGAGAGACAGAGTTTTTGTTTTGTTTGTTTAACGTCACACTCATCAATATTCCACTTCAATTTTGGCGGTTTGTAAATAATCAAGTCTGAACCAGACAATCCAGTGATGACATGTGCATTGATCTATGCAATAGGATACGATGACATGCAACAACTAAAATATCAATCCAATGCTATATCCCCATTAGTCACCTGTTATGGCAAGCATGGATTGCTGAAGACCTAGTCCAACCCCGAACTTCAAGGGTAACATCTAAGTAATGAAACTCTTAAGACATCTAAGAGGGCAACTGAGAAATTACTCTTACCCGACTGAGAATAGGATGATGGTGCCTGAGACGATTGTTGGCCATACCCACTGCTTTCTGATGACTGACCATAGCTGCTCTGACCGTACTGACCATAAGCGCTACTTGGACTGGTGGGCTGGGCTGCGAAAAACAATCATGATAACATCAATAACAGTATCGGGAAAACGCATACTAACATTTTCCAATAACATTCTCTTTTTTATTAAACCAAACCATTGCATGTGGAACAAACAGCAGCATAAGAACATCCATTGTTATGAGTTTGACAAATACCTGTTGGTTGTGCGTATGCACTCTGTCCGTATCCAGCCTGCCCATATCCGGCTTGTGTCTGCTGTGCGTATCCAGTCGTTGGGGTGGTGGTCTGGGCAGGTGCTGCTGACTGGGAGTATGACTGGTCATACCCACTGTAACTCTGCTGGCCATAGCTAGCCTGAAATCCAACCATAAAGTAAGAAAAGTAGCAAGTGGTTTTGCTTCAGACAATGGCATTAGGTAACTTTCAAGATTAGCGGTTGGTAATAAATACAACAAATCACACATCAGAAAACTCAGTTTTAGATGAATTTCTAACCTACTGTGTGTAAACAACTTCAACATCTATCAAGTACAACAGAATAATCTTGAAGTTGAACACTTGAATATTTCAGATTTCCACCTTGGGAAGTGACAAGTCTTGAGGATTAGGCATACATACCTGCTGCCCATAGGCGCTTGTTTCTGTTGAGCTGCCGTAGGCTGCATATCTACAAAGTAATAGAAGTGTAAGGTTGGCAAATCAAAGTCACATTAATTAGATACCAACCTTTAGAAATACTTTAATATAGGTCAGAAGAAATGCATGTCTGAATGCACTCAGCAATATTCCAGTTACATGAGCGTCAGTCTGAATAATTGACATGATTGAGTCCGGGCCAGAAATCCAGTGATTGACATGCAAAGTGGTGACATGTCACATCAAGACAACATGGATTATGTTAAGCTTGTATAGTACTAGCCATCTTCCAATTGGAAGTAAACGGCACAGGCCAAACAAAAACACATGGACATGCTCTAGTCACGTAACCTAAGTGAATCAAGACATTTATATAGAATCATGATTTCTTCTTTATATTCACACGAGAGGAAAATGCACTCTACCATATTGATAAACGACTTCACAGCATGATATGATACATCAATAATTCTATCCCTACTGGAATCAATATTGAAAATATGTTGGCTACATTTATTCAGAATTCATGTGCTGAGCAGTAACTTGTCAAACATCACTTACCCTGTTTGTGCTGCAGCCTGAGGCGGAGCGTAACTGTATGCTGGAACACAAACATTTCAACCGTGAGCAGTGAAATTTAACAAACTGCTGAAGGAGAACCATGGTTTGACATGGATAAATGTAAAAAAATACAAATCAGTGAACATGGCTTTGTTTGCACAAGGCAAACCAGTGACAACATAAAATGAAGCCATGTGCAGCTGCAGATAAGCTGTAAAACCATCTGATGAACCATGATGTACTTCTCTGCATTTTACTATCCAACGTCTATTGGTCATTGATAAACAGCAACTTATCTTCCAACAGTAATATGTAAATAACTGTATAACTTGACAGATTGTTCCCAGCATATAAGGAAAAACATGTGGCACTATTCTGAAAACTGTGTTCTCTGCAAGTTCTCATCACACATTCTCCAGCACCATCCAACAATACTTTCACCAACAGTTCAATCGATGCTGTATTGAACAGAATATTTTCGCAGAAATGTTCACTTAGAGCAGAACTGAAATATATCTATCTTGTAGTAAATAACATTTTGTGCTTAAATAGAGCAGAATTTGCAAATTCACTACAGAATTATAATGTGTGAGATGAAAAGTGATGTATAAAACTATAATGTGTAAACATATTTATTTATTTCATTTTGAAGTGATGTTGACTTTTGCATTATTGCTTACCGAAAGTGCATGTCTGAATGTTATTTGTTTATACGGGTCATCTTCTGATTCACTTTAAAAATGTATTCTTATCATGGATAAGATCCTTAGGGTGAGTTGTGTTGGGGTTTCCGATCAAGCACCAATTTACAATCAATAGGGTTAGTTACCCCTTTCCGATCAAGCACCCCTTACCGATCCTTAGGGTTAGTTGTGAGGTAGGTTATGGGTCAACTATACCATTGTCTTCGAGCTACATAATTCATGAAAATGTTAATGCCAGTATATTGGATTTGCAACACAAATCACCTTCAGGCCGAGGTATGTTGGTTGGCAATTAGACATCCCAATTTACTAAATTCCGGATAACTCAGTAACATCCTAAAAAGACTTGCAACAAACCATAAGAAAGTTACTCATACATGGAATTGTATCTACGTATCAGTGACCAGTTCATGTTGGATATCTAACCAGAACAAAAAAGAACTGATTTCCTCGCTAATGCAGAATCATTCCTAGGTTTCCTACTGATAAAACATCAGATAAGTAGAAATACCACAATTTGGAATATTAGCAAAGTTTGTGTCTTCAGGTAAAATAATTAGTACCAAATACGTAGTACGGAATTTCCAAGAAGGCCTAGTCATTAAATTACCACTGGAATGTGTTACGTTTCAATATGCGTCATAATGCAAGAAACCAACAAGTTCGATAAGGCCCTCCTTAAACAGGGCGGACATTCTTTAAAAACATCTGGGACACCTATCCCGATCCGATATGGATATGTGTACGTTCTACAATTTTAATGTAAATATGTACATAGCTTTAGCCTAGTCCGACAACTGCACATGCTCTGTGCCATGAGGAAGCCATGATTTGACTTCGTGTGAAGAAATCGTTTCAGGCCTTGTATTTCTGCATTTAGCGCCACGCATTTAGTGGTTGTGCAAAGAATTGTTATTCTAGCATAATATCGGAGTAGATAACATGACTGTATCCTATCTCATGGCTTGCATATACTGGTCATGTTATTTTGCTTTTGTTGTGTGCTAGCGGAAGCCATTGCCAAAATGGCGACAGCGTGGTTTGCTCAGAATGAGATGCATGCACTTTTGCCTTAATACAAAGATATTCTCTTGATCCATCACTGTTATTATCAAACTGCTATACATACTTACTATATACAAAATGTTAAGAAAATACTCACGAGCGTCTCCCATTGTTAGGTTCAGTTGTGTTTCTCAGCCACAAGTCTGAAGTAATGATAATGAGCGTGGCTGAAGAGCTGACCAATGAAATGCTAACTTTTTGTCACGTGACTCAAAACCAAGATTCGGCTATTCTCGACATAGATCGTCATCTTCCGTAAACCGAACTTCAATGGATGGATGCTCGCGTATATATATTCTGATGACTTGTTTTTAATTCGTTTTGTTTTCATGCTCAAGCCGAAATAAACAGCAGCAGCCTTTTCAGTGAGGATAGGCTATGATCAATTGGCAGTCATAGCAAGTCAGAGCAGTAAATTAAATCCCGGAATCCCCATGTTGTTTTTCCTTTTTCCTTCCTTGACAGCATGATGCGAGGTGAGGTGACGTGAACCTTACTTCGCGTCCAAGATTATTGCATTGATATAGCGACGTGCATGCACGTGTGTGTGTCTGCTTGTACTAGTCCGGACTGATGCCGATGTGCTAGCCCACTGAGATACCAAGCCGCAGTTTAACACCCAGACACAGTATACTGACTCCGAGCCGACCAGTCCTTTTAGCAGGAAGGGTAACAATAAGTACCACCTTTTTAAACGTCTTTTTGGTATGACGCGGCCGGGGATCGAACCCCGGACCTTCCGCCCTCTTGGCGGACGTTCTACCACTAGACCACGGAGGCGGCCCCTCTTAACTATATAAAGGCTGTGTAAATTGCCAGTCCCAGCAATTGTAATTCAAGTTGTTCAAACAAGAGCTGGTTTAGCCAAATACTCCAATTTATTTATTTAGAAGAAGACAAAGAAGAAAATTACACTGTAAAAAATATTTAGAATGTAAGCTCATAAATACATGTATAGATCTAAATATGTTTAGGAATGTGTTTAAATTTATTCATACATGTTTGCCACAAAATGCAAATTTTGTTGTATAGAATTTAAGCATGTTACAGAATGCTTTACCTTTACAAAATTGTGAAACTATACATGGAAGGGGAGACAATTCTACACGACAATGAGCCCCCGATGGCTGTTGCTGTTGCTGTTGGTTGGATTGGATTCATCTTTCCGAGGCAAGGGAGTTAACTGACTTTAAAAGTCCAGTTTCCACCCTTGCCGAACTAGGCTGGAATTACTGGGTTCGATCGTAGCGCCACCAGTGACTATTACCAGTTATGTCCCTTCTAAGCCTCTCTTATGGACCAATCCGATTCCACCTCTTGTATCACTTGCGTTTGCTTCACACAAAATGGTGGCACCCAGTCAGGACGATCTGATCGATAATAAAGGTCTATATTGTGATAAAACGCGTCTCACATCGCGAAATGCATCAAATCACGTGAACACCTTGATTAAAAACAGGAAAAGTTTTGGAAAATATCTGCTGACAACGAGTTGGCGGTGCACATGTTTTGCAAATCCTGCAACCAACAGAAATCTGCATGACCGGATTTCGATTTCGGTGCGCGATTTTGATTGGACTGTGTATAGATTCGTTAGTCTAGCCAAAACGTAACTCCATAATACCAGCCAAGTTCGGCAAGGGTGGAAACTGGACTTTAATAGTCAGTTAACACTCTTGCCTCGGGAAGATGGATTGAGTTTAGATTATGGGGGTGTAAGTAGGTCACGGGACTGTGCGAGACATTACGTTGTTTAGTACTTCCGGTGACAAACGGTGATGTAGGCATTGTAAGAAATTGACTGTAATTGTTGGTATTTTAGAAGTATATGTTATATGTTCTCATAAGAGTTATTTATCTTTTGCAGTTGGACCAGCTTTCCACGTTTGAGGGGAGAAAGCAACTCGGACTGTAACAGATCTTCAGATTTCTTTGAATATTTTGTGGTCAAGCAATACATTGCCTGTGAAAGAACAACTCTTGTTGTGTATACAGTTGTAAACATATTAAAGTCCTATCTGAAGTACTGGTTCTGTAAATGATTTCTGTGACAATCATAATACACCTTGTACACTGGACACTTGCTGGAATAGGACCTACTTGTCATCAACATGGTGTTGCAGAACATTCTAGGACTCTCATATAAAGTCCAGTGTGATTCTAGATACTGACACTAGTGACAGTGCATGCTGTTGAAAATATTCCAATTCACACTGGCACAGTAATTTGTTCAGGCTTGGCTTTTCGGAATATTTGCCAAGAATGTTTAATATTTTCAGAGTAATCATGACCTGGTAATAAAATGTGTGGATATGCCATACAATGTCATTAATATTTATGGTATCAGCCATGATACTGAATTGATATTGAATATAATATCATAACAAAGCAATGTATGATAATAGTTTTTCAGTTTATGGGTCAAAATCTTCCTAGAAAATACAACAGATGCTCACCAATGAAAATTAAACATAACCAATGGATTAGCAATTGTTGCTTTAGGAAATTAATTCTTTGTTGAAATATCAACATGTATTGATTTTGCATCGACTGTATAAGGGTTCAGCATGCAAATACACTGATTCATTGGACAATAGCCAATACACTTTATTCATGACCAGTAATCTTTAAACAGATTGGTCCATATAGTAACTGGAAAATGTGAAATGTCAGTCGCCCCATTTGTTTAATTTGGCTTTATTGGCAGAATATTTGAAACACAAAAATATATGAAAAATAGGTACAATTGTTTCTATCTATTAAGTCAATGTTGTACCAAATTGTGTTCATCAGTGTTCACTGAGTGATAAGTTGAATGTTGTAATGTTTTGGACTTCTGGCAAATTTTTTTACTTGGATCGTTTGAGCCTCACAACCAGAAATATTATTAAAAAAAACCACAACTGTTCATCACAGTTAATCTTTCCCATGCTATCAATCACAGTCTGCAATGTTATAACAATTTTATTGCTGACGAGGTGTAACACACTTTTTATTTCTTCCTTCAGAATAGGGGCGATCGGGTAGCCTAGTGGTTAAAGCGTGTGCACGTCACGCCGAAGACCCAGGTTCGATTCCCGACATGGGTACGATGTGTGAAGCCCATTTCTGGTGTCCCCCGCCGGGATATTGCTGGAATATTGCTTAAAGCGGCGTAAAACCATACTCACTCACTTAGACCCTAAACACGTCAAAATTATAGGAGAGGGAAGGTGTTTAGGTTTGTGTTTTTACAGTGTTTTTGATTACTTTGACACACATTGCAGTTACTGTGTACATTATCATGATAATAACATACGTAACACAAGCAGAGCTCAGCCTCAGAATGCTTACGAGACTCAAATGTTAATAGAAATATCGCATACTATTAAATCATTGACATTGTTTATACACACAAAACGATTAAACCACAGAATAAGTAACAACTAAAATACAACCTTGAATATATTATATCGTGTTAAGATCAGTTAATTACAATATGTTATCACAAATACACAATGCCAATGTTTCACTGTAGTCACCCAGCTGTGCCCTCTGTGATCGTTCTGAGGTACACAAGGTCAGTCAGCCGTGGTTGAAGGTCACACAAAGGGGTACCAGCTGGAGCCTATAGCAGATAACTAAACAAATATCAAAGAAACTCTACTGGTATATCATTTATTGCAACACTTTTCAAATTTAATATATTTACTAACACTAAAACATCCCACATTAACTTTTACACAAAATAATACAATTCTACATAAGACACTCTTCACAATGTTCAGAGGTAGGTAAGGTGAAATGGGGTTTAACGTCGCGTTCAGTATTACAATATTGTAAACCTATAGAAAGTGTGTTCTGTGTTGTGATTGGCTGATTTGGGTCACATGCCCAAATGTCAAAGGGTGAAAATATGATTTGCATTCCCTGAAGCAAGCGACCAAATCACTGTGTAGGAATACATAATTACTCAGCTTTGCATTCTTATTAACATGAATTAACATTCATAACAAATATTTTGATTTTCTCTATTCATGGGAATTATTGGGATTTTAAATTTTTATTTACAAAAACTTATAATGAAATAAATACCAAAATCACAATCACCATAGCAACAACAGAGCGTTCGATGTTGACGCCTCACAACCGAGTAAGTACGAGGTGTTAAAGAGTGCGCATGTTTTTTTCTAAATAAAACAATAGGTTTACAATATCGATAAATACTATATGTGTGTCTATTTCCGGGATTTTATCGAGTATTTGCATCTTAGAATGAAAATTTCCAAGATGCAAATACTCGATAAAATGCCCTGAAATTGACACACACATAGTATTTAACTTCTAATTATTACATTTACACAGGGACGTGCCTGCACGTCTTTGTGTGGCTGCGTGTATTAGTAAATGCAGTTTGTTTGTTTGTTGTTTTACGCTGTATCAGCTGATTAAACACCGGAACATGAAGACTAACCCGTGATTATATTAGATCCTTCCACAAGAACTCGGAATTTCCCGCATTTGAGAATGATCATGACGTAAACACTACTGTCATTCCCGTACATGTGGTATGTTGTATGGTTGTAGAAACTGTTTTGTTTGTTGTTTAACGCTGCACTCAGCAATATCCCAGCTATATGACGGCGGTCTGTAAATAATAGACTCTGGACCAGACAATCCAATGATTGACATCATGAGCATCGATCCACGCAAATGGGATCGATGGCATGCTTCAACCAAGTCAGCGAGCCTGACCACCCGATTCTGTTAGTCGCCTCTTACGACAAGCACAGTCGCCCTTTACGGCAAGCATGGGTTGCTGAAGACCTATTCTATCCCGGATCTTCACGGGTCAGACTAATGACGATTTTACAGTGCTAGCCCACGAAGATACCATGCCGCAGTTTAACGTGTATATCCCACTCAGACACAGAATAATTACTCCGATCTTTTTTTATCGCGGATCAGGCAGTACAAGTTCCATCTTTTAACATCTTTGGTGCCACCTACCCCCCGCTCTCCTTGTAGACACTGACGTCATTTTATAGCTGGATAGCAATGTTTGAATGAACTTTTGAATTGTACATGTATATATATTTCAACTTGACATGTAGTTTGTAAACTCAAATCTGAATAATACCCTAATCACACATGCTGGGACCGCCTCTGTGGTCTAGTGGTAGAGCGTTCGCCCGGAGAGCGGAAGGTCCGGGGTTCGATCCCCGACCGCGTCATACCAAAAGACGTTAAAAGGTGGTACTTGTTGTTACCCTGTCTGGCGCTCGGCATTAAGGGGCTAAAACAAGGACTGGTCGCCTCGGAGTCAGTATACTGTGTCTGAGTGGGGTATTCATGTTCAACTGCGGCATGGTATCTCAGTGAGCTAGCACTATAAATCGGCATCAGTCCGAACTGGTACAAGCAGCCGCTTTTAACAGCATTCAAGTTATATCTGAGCATGTGTACGATCAAAGTCTGCGCGCCGACAGATATTTTCTCAATCTTTTCACGTTTTTAGCCAAGGTGATCAACTGATTCCACGAACTCCGCGAGGTAAAACCCGTTTTATTACAAATTATTTTTGGCTCATATAATCATGGGCGAGTCTTCATGTTCTAATGTTCTACCAGGAGATACACGGCCTTCTCATGGGTTCCCCTCAAGATTAGAATTGATCTTTGAGAACCCCTGCTTGTCATAAGAGGCGACACGCGGGTCGGTTGGTCAGGCAAGCTGACTCAGTTGAGTGCATGTGTTTTGTTTCAACGAAATGCTGGATGTCTCACATTTAGAGATAATCGACCGCCTCCGTGGTCTTGTGGTAGAGCGTCCGCCCGGAGAGCGGAAGGTCCAGGGTTCGATCCCGGGCCGCGTCATACAAAAAGACGTTAAAAGATTGTACTTGTTGTTACCCTGTCTGGCGCTCGGCATTAAGGGGCTAAAACAAGGACTGGTCGGCTCGGAGTCAGTATACTGTGTCTGAGTGGGGTATTCATGTTAAACTGCGGCATGGTATCTCAGTGAGCTAGCACTATAAATCGGCATCAGTCCGGACTAGTACAAGCAGCCACACACACACATACACGTGCATGCACGTCGCTATATAAGTGCAATAATCTTGGACGCGACGTTAAATCAAATTTCACCTTAGAGATAATCTGATACGGCATTAAACATCATTATGATTGTTCATCATTACACCACCATAGACAGACAGATCTTTTGATAAGGTCAAACAATTACTCATATGGACGCCACGTACGTGTTAGCATGCATGCCTGCTGAAGAAAGGTGTCCATTACGACGTTGGCTTTCGTGCGATTGTGAGTATGGATTTAATGGCTTCTCGGGTTTTTCAGTTTTTACCTATTTAGGCAATTCACAATTACTTTCTGCTAGAGGCTCTGGTGGCACGGCTATTCTGTGTAATGATACATCCATGAGGAGTGCTAAGTCGCTTCATACTAATTCTCATTTTGTAGCTCCTAGTAGAAATGCTAAGTGTTACAATGATGCATAACCGGCGACATTTGCTTCATCAAATTTGCTAAAATAAAGATGCCAACGGTATTTCATTGACGTGGTCGTTTAATTCCATGTATTATGTATACGATTTCGCGATAGCAGTGAGCTGACACGAAATATTAACGCACATAATACTGTTGAAAATGGGGTGTGTGTCATCGTTTACATTTCACCGATGTGACGACCACTTTCGGGTCTCGAAACAGCTTATATACTGTTTTCCTTCACTAAAAGTAACAATTGACGTTATTCCCGTGACATATGCATTGCAAGAGTTTCATGAAAATGCTAAGAAAAAATTGTAACCACCCGTTCTAGAGTTGTTGTTTTTTTATAGTAAATACATGGAGTGTCGGCCATGTTTGTTCGTCTAGTCGAGGCGGCCATTGTGCAGTCATTGCCTGGGTCAGTGTAGCGCCAGAGCAGCATACCCAGGGAACCAGGCTGAGTCTGTTCTTGCTATTCGGAAAGTTGGACATGGCGCGACCAATCAAATTGCGTTTGGGTGTCACGTGATATTTGTTGGCTTCTGCTGAGAAGAAACCACGCCTCGACTTTTCAAGAGAGGAAACCGAGCGTTTTGTGCCTCACTGTCAGAGTCACGAAACCCTGTGGAATGTCTCAAGCAAGGATTATTCCAAAAGAGATAAGAGGAATGCTGCATTGAAAATTCTAACCCTCAATTTCTATTTGTTGTATGCTCCAGGGTATCGTTTCACAAAGCAGTCGTAAATTTACACGCTCGTAGATTTTACGCCATATTTGCGCAATGTTTACGCCATAGTCTAAGACTGTTTCACAAAGCTACACTAAAACTGGCGTAACCTCGGCCAACTTACACGCACGTAAAAAATACGATTGGAGCTCTTTCCCTTTGTGAGGTAGGAAAATCCACACTAGAGTTGTCTACCGTGGCAGGTGCTCTGCGCAGACAACGAAGCGCAGTAAAATGGAGGACATTTGCGACAAGAAATCGAGTAAGAGAAACTTTTCGGCCACAGAAGTCGAAATTCTTACAGAAGAAGTTGGCAGCAATTAAGATGTGTTGTTTTCATCTTTTTCTTCTTGCATCACAAACAATCGGAAGAAGAAGATATGGGAGGATATTCTGACAAAGTGAGTGCATTTCACGGCATTGAACTCACATCTGTCATATGAAGCAATGCCCTGGGGGAGTGGCAGTCTTTCATTGATACACATGTTATGCAACAAAAAACAAGCCCGGACAACACACAAACTCCTTTCTGGGGTGAATTGTAAGACACCAGTTGTCTTGTGAAGGCATCTGGAAATGTGATGAAACACATTTTCTGTATTATAAGTTATTTTCCCAACTTCTTCACAGACGCCTGTTAGACAGGCTTTGAGTTTGTTCAAAATTAAGTTGATAATGTTTTTTAACAATTCTTTTGAAATACTACAACAACTTAAAAAAGCTCAATTTGAGATAAGAAGTAACTCCATTTTTTTCTTCAAGTTTTCAACAATGATACCATACAATTGATACTATTACATGTTTTCCTCATGTAACCTTACCTTCAATATTTAACTATTTCACTTACAATAATTTCTTGGTTACATTACCAACTTACTGTTGCCACTTTAAACCGTACCTAAATCTTGACTTGCACAAGCCAAATGTTCTCTCTATTGTGTTCCGTGTCTTGATATGGCATCTATTGTATTTCTCCTGTCCTTCCGAGCTGGGATTGAGCACAGGGGTCAGCAGCCATGGTCTGCAGGCATATCTGTAACATAAGTAATAAGGATAACACTATATCCAGACAGGTCATCAAAATATTATCAATATTTTACTAAGTGCAGTTTTGTCAGATTTGTTTATCACACATTGTAAAATTCAACTGTATTTAGCAAATGTAAGTGAAGTTCAGGTATATATGTTGTAGTTTTATTTACCCAGAGTCTCCAAGTAGCCATCCATCAATATTCTTCTTTTCAAAGTACTTACCAAGGGCAGAGTTATTCCATATATAACTGTCATGGACAGAGCCAGGCCACTTGAAGACACAGTTTGTAAATCTGAGAGAAAAATATAACAATTTATATCCATATAAATCCAACAGAAAGCCAGTATTTAAAATGCACATGCATAATTTTATAAAGCTCATTTACGTATTTAGTTATTTAATGTATATATATAGAGATCTACATCTGCCTACAAATAAACACTATTAATTCACATTTTAATTATGGAACAGTTATACTACATGGAAACAATGGAAATTTGAAAACATTATCACAATGGATTCATTTTTACTGGTATGCATCATGACTTATCTCGCCGTAAACGTTACCTAGGGGGCGCAGTATGCGTCAATGTCAAGGACATCTATTTCATGTTGTAATGTTTACATTTTGCCGTGCCTTGTTCAAGAGGAATAGGAATAATTGATTCATGATAAAAGACATATCTACCATGTGTGTATGTATCTCACCTCATGTTGGCATCACATACTGCCTGTATGTTCAGTGCATGGTAACCCTTCCGACAAACGTAGGCTACTTCGTCACGTTTCGGCGGCATTATGGGTACGAGTGTGCAGTCAATTGCACCGAGTACTTTAGGGAATCCAGCTATGTCGAAGAATGATTCTTTGGTACTCTTCTGAGTGGAAGGCATTGTGGGAAATACTAAATCACCCATGGTTGCACATAAGACACACACGATGCTCAAGGTCGACAGAAGGCAGGATATGACCTGAAGGTTAGAGGTGGAACCCTAGAGGTCGGAGACAGAGTGCTGGTCAAAGCTTTGGATTTCGATGGACGACATAAACTAGCGGACCGATGGGAAGATAATGTTCATGTAGTTCTGGAACAGCCAAATTTAGATATTCCTGTGTTTGTGGTCCAGAAGGAATTTGGTGAAGGACGGAAGAGGACCTTGCACCGGAACCATCTCCTGCCCATTGGAGCCATTTCACAGCCAGAGGATGCCAAGGTCAAGCAGAGGCCAACTCAAGCTCCTAGACGAAGGACATCAACTGTGTTATCCCCAGCATACACTCAAGACGCGACATCAGAGATGTCTACTGGAAATGATGAAGATATCATGGAGTTAGGAACATTTACAGTGCCTGTTCAGACGTCCCAAGATACAGCAGACGTTCATGGCTCCACAGTGATGAACGCAGAAGGGATGAGGAATCTACCCAAGCAAAGACTGGTGACGACCAAGAACTTCTTGAGGTAGAGGGATCTTCTTCTGGTGGCGACGGTCACTCGTCAGTGTTGTCAGAGGAACAGCAGGACACAGAAGAGACCCGTGAAGAAGAAATAGAGGACCTTGATGAGGACGAAACTGAACAGGAGGAACCTGGGGCTCAGACCGATTCAGGGATAGATGACGAAACATCTGCTGCTGCAACTGCATCGATATCTCCAACTGGATCTGCACCTAGACGTTCAGGAAGAGACTCCAAGAAGCCTTCCTGGATGACATCAGGGGAGTACTTGATGAGTCACAGAGTGCCAGGTTCAGAGGCTACTATGGACAGGAGATCTAGAGCAATCCAGGAACTTGCAGCTAGTGGTGTTTTAAAGCATATTAGTGAGAGTTTATCCTAGGCTTTTATTTCTATTCTGGATGGAACTTCTAAATGACGAGGACGTCATTTCTGGGGGAGGGGAAGTATGTGGCCAAGTCATGTTTTAAGTATTTGTACATATAAGTTAGATATTTTAGATGTTTCATTTTAGCTTTAAACTTTACATACAGTACCCTACAAACAAACCTTTAGAGTTATACAAGCCCTCAATACAACAAGCCTATCCCTGCACTCTGCATTTAACAATAGCCAACTTACTGGGTCAGGCCAGGTTCTGACCCATGCGTATGCACACTGCACAAGTTTCTTTTGTCTGTCTGCTTTAGTTTCTCTGGTCAGCTTACTATCTATTGTGTATGTAGTTTTAAAGGTTTCTGTCCGGCATATCCTGTTGGCAGTTGTACACATTTATTCGAGGAGGTCACTTGGATTTATATTTCATCGTTTTCCTTAATATCAGCCCCTTGCTGATTGTGGATGTGGAACATTATGCATTCATGGAACTCGATATTTGTGTATTGAGGATTTCATTATCCAGGTTAGTTTATGTGTAGTATTTCATATACTGTATATATGGTCTTGTACATATTGTATTTCTTAAGAGGTGTTAGATTAATGCATCAGTGTATAATTAAACCTAGCTGGTAGTTAAAGTAAAGTAGGTATTTCAACTATCATTACAGTTGGTTGTATGTAGAATTTATTTCATTTCAATCTAAAATGTATCATATTGCATCTTTACAGTATGTTATCTTCTTAAATACTGCATTACTAGTATACACTTTACTAAACTAAATTATTATTTAAACATGTTCTAAAACCTATAACTGTCTGAACGTGGTATGAAATAAGAACGTATGTATGGGAGATCGGTTGTTTTTATATCTTATTTTATATGGCCATTATTAGTATTGTCAAGGTTGTATTTCAATTTGTTATAGAATGATGTGACGGTAAACAACCTTGAACGTTGCTGCGAACCACTGAGTTAAGCTCATTGCCACACAGTGGTAAGTGGGGAACATAATTATATATATGGCTCAAACTAATAACTAGTATATTGTCAATTGCACCGAGTACTTTAGGGAATCCAGCTATGTCGAAGAATGATTCTTTGGTACTCTTCTGAGTGGAAGGCATTGTGGGAAATACTAAATCACCCATGGTTGCACATAATGCGTCTGTTGTTGCGTGGATTGCTCTGCAGACGGAGGATTTACTCACACCGTGGATATCGGCAATCTCACTGTAAAACCCACCCTTGGAGAAGTGTCTCAGAGCAATTAAAACATTAAGGTAAGGTGGTATTGCATGGGAACGCTGGGTTTGATGTTCAAGTCGGTCACTCACTTTACCAATGATAGAAAATATCATGTGTCGTGATAGGCGGTACCTCTTGATGATGTCATGATCATCCAAATCGTCGAGGGGGTTCGACCTGTCGCGGAAAACACGTTCTCGCTTACATACTTTTTTGGCAATCTCGTCCGTGTTTGGATTGATCGCCATCTTTATCGCTTGCGTAAATATTTACACCACCCCAAGACCACACGTAGAGTTTACGTCAATTTTACACGGACGTAATATTACACTAGCTTTGTGAAACGCCCCTAGTTCAGTATTTCCGAGCTACGCCAGTTTTACACGCACGTAAGACTTACGACTGCTTTGTGAAACGGTACCCAGGCATGTCCCGGCGGAGAAGCCAGTCTTTCATCCAACAGCTTCTCTTTTTCTTCGTTTTGGCATTGCCGTCTTCTTCCCATAATATCGCGCAGCAGATGACTAATGCCACGTCTGCTTCAGACATTTTGATACAATGGAAACAAATTACCGCGAAGTATTATGAGATCGACATTCAATCGGCAGATCGAATCGTGTGAGTGGTAGAAAATCGATTTGTCGACATTCGTTACAACCACCGAACATGTACAATATATGGAAATCGGCAGGTCGTTATACGACGTGTCGACCCGTGTGAATCGCGGTAAAACAAATTTTAACCTTTAATATCCGATTCGTCAAATACGTCAAATTCGTCTCCTGGAATCCAGTAATGTCCTGACTTTCAAGTTGTTCAATAAATCTGACGCCTTCTAAGTCCACATACATTTATACTTCATAAGCTTAGTGGGTAAATCTTACAATCTTCCTTTGTATTTCGATAATAAACTTTTCCATTTTCACCAGGGTGTCGAAAACGTTACTCTAGCATAATACTGTATCATAGGTATCTTTCATAAGATAGTATCTATGGATGGTATTTCAATTTCTATATTCCCGTGAAGATCCGGGGTAGAACAGGTTTTCAGAAAACCCATGCTTGCCATAAAAGCCGACTATGCTTGTCGTAAGAGGCGACTAACGGGATCGGGTGGCCAGACTCGCTGACCTGGATGATGCATGTCATCATATCCGAATTGCGTAGGTCGATGCTCATGATGTCAATCAGTGGATCAGACTCGCTGACTTGGTTGATGCATGTCATCATATCCTAATTTCGTAGATCGATTTTCATGATGTCAATCACTGGATTGTCTGGTCCAGACTCGATTATTTACAGATCGCCGTCATATAGCTGGGATATTGCTGAGTGCAGCGTTAAACAACAAACAAAACAGTTTCTATAACCATACAACATACCACATGTACGGGAATGACAGTAGTGTTTACGTCATGATCATTCTCAAATGCGGGAAGTTCCGAGTTCTTGTGGTATGATCTAATATAATCACGGGTTAGTCTTCATGTTCCGGTGTTTAACCAGCTGATACACGGCCTTCACATGGGTTCCCCACAACCATCACTCATCACCGAGATCATCATAAGAACCTTTGAAGAATCTGCCCAAACCACATCACCCTCCACCCAACCTGTAGGTAGGAAGGTTGATAATAACTTCACTATCCTTGTAGAAAATCAAGATCCAACCATTCCACTTAACCACCTCAACAACCAGCATCCCAGAATCCAGTTCACCATAGAGACTGAGGAAAACTACCAAATACCCTTCCTTGACATTTCTGTCAACAACAACCACCCCGGTCAGCCCCCACACACATTTCAGTACAACCACTACCCATGCAACCATTGATCCCGAGGTTAAACGTGCCATTGTTGCAACTATCACCAGACGAGCCAGGTCCATATGCAGTGCCGAACACATCCAACAAACCTTCATAACCCTTAACGTCTGCTACTCGCGCCCCCTCCCTTCCCGTCAAGATCGGGGTAAGAATAGGTTTTCAACGACCCATGCTTGTCATAAGAGGCGACTAAAAGGATCGCGTGGACAGGCTCGCTGACTTGGTTGATGCATGTCACGGTATCTCAATTGCGTAGATCGATGCTGATGATGTCAATAGCTGGAATTGTCTGGTTCTGATTCGATTATTTACAGAGCGACATTTTGCAGCTGGAATATTTTAAGGTTTGGCAATACACTACAACAAACAAACAATAAAAAAGACATGCCAAAAACCAAACCCATAGACCCATAGACCATGAAAACCTCCCTCGAGCAACAAGATGACCGCCCCAAACCGAGACCCTTTCCGAGTCACCATCCCTTACCAATGTCCCATGAGTAAATAGCTAGCATTGATGTGACCTACACATCAGATAAAGCACTCAAGATCAACCTCTGCGACAGTGGCAAGGGCCAAAGCTACCATACCCCCAACTTCCAATCAATTACTCAACATATTTATAATTCCTTGTATAATCCGCGAAGCGGATTTACGGAAATTATGCTCATCGGTTTTTACGTTTATGACTACATGAACGCCAAATAGACATATGGAAGTCAATTATTATAAATAAATACGTCAACAATAATAACTCTACAGATTGCTCATTGAAACACAGAAAACACACTGGAGACAAAAATCAGGACATCATTCACCCCAATAACGCAACACAAGCCTCGCCCATTTAATTTTTATTGATTATTTAGATGAAAATTCCAGAGTCTCCCTTCATTTATACATCAATGCAGCTGCTAGATGAAAATTCCAGAGTTTCCATTCATTTATACACTAATACAGCTGCTAGATGAAAATTCCCGAGTCTCTAT